CAGATTATGAGTTCAGATTTGGTCATGTGGAGTTTGACGTTCCTATATCACACCCAAGAAGCGTTGTGAGGTAGGTAAATAGGGATCAATAAGAAACTTCAGTTATTATAAGGTTAGTAAGTTGGAATTTGGCAGGAACAACATGAATGGATTTTTCTTATAAGAATGTATTAAAAACCTCCTTCGGAGTCTGAGCTACAGGCTATTTTGAAAGAAACTCAATTTTATTAATTAAAACTATCCATGGTAATTAACTAGCTACCATTTATTGAGTTCTTATCATGAAGTCTGACTATATGTCAGGCCTCTACCAAGCATTTTACATACATTATCTCATTTAAATCTCTCAATGCTGTAAGTTAAGTATTATTATCTGCATTTCACAGACATTAAAACTGAGGCTAGAGAAGTTAAGTAAAATTTCCTAAGTTCATAAAGCTCTAAGTTCCTGAGGCTGGATTTTTACCCTGGTTTGTATGATTCTATTCCTTGTGTTCTATATATTACAAATATTAAAAACAGCATCTCTTGGTATCAGTCCTGCAGAGGAGTACTTTAATTAGTTTATGTAAATAATGTGTAATTATCATAATGTATTCCTTTTTCGGATAGCCTTTTTTTTTTTTAAATCCTCACTGAGGATATTTTCCCATTGATTTTTAGAAAGAGTGGAAGAGAGAGGGAAAGATAGAGAGAAATATTGATGTGAGAGAAACACATTGATTGCCTGTCTCCTGCATGAGCCTTGACCAGGGCCCGGGCCAGGGAGGAGCCTGCAACCAAGGTATGTGCCCTTGACTGGAATTGAACCCGGGACCCTTGGGTCCGCAGGCCGATGCTCTATCCACTGAGCCAAACCGGCTAGGGCTGGATAGCCTTTCTTAACCTTTAAAAATTGTGCAATAATTTAAAACTCTCAGTAAGTTGTAAATATAATAGAGTTCTCACATATCCTTTACTCTGGGTTCCCTGATGATATCTTACATAGAACACTGTCAAATCCAGCAAGTTGATATTAGTATAATATTAACTGCACTACAGACTAGTCGAGCGATTTCTTTAATCATTTATCGACAATCTTCTTTTTGTTAAAAGTCAGTTTAGTAAGTCTTTCCAATCTGTTGTTATGGGAGTAGATTTCATGTGGACTCCTTTATGAACTTTCATCAACAGAATTAGTGATCTGAATTTGTTTGCAATTGATTTATTTTATGAAATACATTGGAGTGAAACATTCCGAGGAAAAATTTCATGTCAATTTTGTAAACCCAAACATTTAGTACACTAACAACCAAAGCAAGCTTAGCCAGATATTTGACTAGAAAACTCTCTGTTGTTAAATGTTGTTATATAAATTTATCTCTGGTTAGAGTGTAGGCCCTCATTCTGAAGAGTTGTGGGTTTGATTCTCATCAAGGGCATATACCTTAGTTGCAGGCTTGATCCCCAGCCCCTGTTGGGGTGCATTTGGGAGGCAACCAATTGACGTGTCTTTCTCACATTAATGTTTCTCTCACTCTCTCTCTTGCTCTCTCTTTCACACACACACACACACACACACACACACACACACACACACACACACACACAGTACCCTCCTTCTCCTCTACTCTCTCTAAAAAAAAATCAATGGAAAAAAATATTCTTGGGTGGGGGAAATTTTTTTAAAAAAGAAGTATAGAATCCCAAGGCTTCAGGAATATAGAAGAGAGATAAATGATAAAGAGCCTGTAAGGTTTTAGAAGACTTAATGGACAAGGTCAGCTTAAGTTCAATTATATTTATATTTATAATATAAAGTTTGGAATAATATTTTCAACAATTTATTTCTCTCTTTCCCTAGAAAATTACTGGGCACTGTGGCATTTATGTAGCATTTCATTAAATATTAATATCAAAGTTGAATAGCCACAGAAGACATAAGTACAAAATCAGTTACAGGGCAGTAATAGCTATTATTATGTCAAATTTATGTTGTAAGAGAAACAGGGATTGGGCATTCAGTGGAGAAGAGACTCCCATGGGATGACTTCTTGAAAGCAAAGGAATTTTAGTCAGTTTTTAAGAATGAATAGACTGGAGGGCAGAGTACAGATGATGATAATTTTTGTGAAAGCTGAGAAACATATAACAATTTTTTTGTGTGAGAGTAAGCAGATTCCCTTGTCTGGAGCAGAGGACTTATGTAAGAAAGTTAGGGGACGAGGTGTTATTATTTTTTATATTACATTAAAGATTTCTTTTCAGGTCATATATTCTATGTATTTTGACAAATGTATAATGACATGTATCTATCCTTATAGAATCATACAGAATAGTTTCACAGCCCTAAAAATCCCCTGTGCTTCATAGGGAATGCATTTTTTAACTTATTTTTTTTGATTTTTCAGAGGGAAAGAGGAAGGGAAGGAGAGAGAAAGAAACATCAGTACTTGTACTACATTAATTTGTTGTTTATGCATTCATTGGTTGATTCTTACATGTGCCCTAACTGGGGGTGGAACCCACAACCTTGACGACGATGCTACAATAAATTGACTTTTAATCTAATGTTCTAATATTTTTTTATTGCTTAAAGTATTACAAAGAGTGTTACATATGTCAAATAGTATTAACAATGTTATCTTGTCCTAGCTCAGTGATGGCGAACCTTTTGAGCTCGGCGTGTCAGCATTTTGAAAAACCCTAACTTAACTCTGGTGCCATGTCACATATAGAAATTTTTTGATATTTGCAACCATAGTAAAACAAAGACTTATATTTTTGATATTTATTTTATATATTTAAATACCATTTAACAAAGAAAAATCAACCAAAAAATGAGTTCGCGTGTCACCTCTTACACGCGTGTCATAGGTTCGCCATCACTGGCCTAGCTGGTTTGGTTCAGTGGATAAGGTGTTGACCTGTGGACTGAAGGGTACTGGGTTCAATTTCAGTCAAGGACATGTACCTCAGTTACAGGCTCGATCCCTGGTTCTGGTTGGAGCGGTGTGGGAGGTAACCAATTGATGTGTCTCTCTCACATCAATGTTTCTCTCTCTCTCTCTCCCTCCCTCCTTTCCCCTCTCTCTAAAAATCAACAGAAAAATATCCTCAGCTGAGGATTAACAACAAAAAATATTATCTTGATATTACTAAAGTAAAGGATTGATTTGAATTATACTGCTAATTTGATTTTGGTGTTACTTTAAACCCATAGCTTTCTTTTCTTTAAAAAAATATATTTTACTACCATATATTACCTGGTAAGTTGGAAAATTTATATTTAAATGAAATGTACTAATAAACCCATTATCCATAAGTGAACTAACATTTCAATGAGCATCTTTCCTGTCTTCTGTTTTCTGTGCATGTGTTATTTTTGTTAAAAATAAATGGTGTATATTGTTTTATATCCCGCTTTTATCAATCAATATGTAATGAGCAGAATCCCTTGTAATTCATTGTTTTGCTGCACTGTACTTTTTACACTGTATGGGTTATAGATTTTTCATAATTTTAGGAATTATCATGATATCATTACAGAATGTGGAAGTATTGCTTTTTCTTTAGCAGGTGGAGAACTAAGAGTCAGACAGGTGGGCTGATGTTATTTAATGAAAGTATTTTCACCTGATCAGGAGTCTTCCTTTTGTCTTAATTCAACCTCTAACTCCATTCATTGATCTATTCTTGAGTTTTGTTATTTAATCTCTCTGGATATTGGTTTCCTTGCCTTTAAAAGTTAGTAGTTATTCTAGTATTCTGTAACTGTGAGTTTTCTAGGATGTCATAGCAAAGTAGGAACAAAGGTAACACTAAATTCTTTCATTGAAATTACATCAATTGACAAGTCTTCTTTTCTCTCTCCGACTCTCTTTTTCTCTTTCTCTAACCTCAAGAACACAGATTTGAATTAGTTACCATCTTTGGCCCACAGATGACCTTTTTAAACTTCTTTCTGTTTTTGGTGTTGATACTATATGCTAGACATCTGTGAATTCCCACTTACACGGTAGCTTTTTTAAGGATGTTTACTGGTCAAAATCTAAGTTTTAATGCCATGCCATGTTTTATTTACCATTGTGTTTCTAGCACCTACTGTTGTGTCTGGTGCAAACCAGTTGCTCAATCAATATATATTGCATGATTGAATGGCTGTCACGTAGACCTGTTACCTGGATGAACGTTTTACTGGTAGAGGAGAATCCATTGTCAAAACTTGCTAAAATGTAGACATTGACAAAAGAGGCAGGTAATTAAAATAAACATATGCCATTGAAGTTAGTAATGATTGTGAATTGAGAATAAAACAGAAATATATTCACTAGGAAAACCTACGCGGCAGTGAAAGACTGAACAGAAATTTTATTAACTGTGAAGTAAAACAAACAAACAAATAAACAAACAAACAAAAATGAACAAAACCCTTATAGTTTCATATGTGTGCAAACAATATTTAGAACATAGCACAGTGGAGGCATGTATACTTTTATCCCCACAGTAACATTGGGATGTTGAGGGGAAGATTTAAATATTGCCACTTGTCAAATGAAGATAGGACACTCAGAAAAGTTTAAGTGACTTCTCAAAATCACACAGCTAGTAAGTGGCACCTCTAGGATTCATACTGTATCTGTCTGACCATACAGGTAAGAGCCTTATTGAATGATAATAAACTGTCTCAAAATTGTATTGCCAGTCTTCAGAAAATTTAAGAAATAATTCCTTCTGAAATACCTTTATTATTTAACTCTTGCCTATTGAGGAGGAAGATTTTCATTTTAGGAAATGATATATAGACATCATATTTTTAACATGTATACATGTAAGCCAGATGATCAGCTCCATTAGCATTAAACTTTTTGCAAAAGCCATTTGTTTCTGTCTTGACTTGGAATTTCTTCTTTAATTTCCCTGGAATTGTTGGCTGTAGTGCGTTTCCTTTGCGATCTGGAGTCAGGTAGGTGATCTGTGTTGCGGTGCCAGATGCTTGATACATCTCTATGCTGTTACAGAATTATAGTAGAGGACGCCGTGGATTGGCGACCCCATGACAAAATTGTGCTTGGCTCCTCTTCCTATGAGCCTCACGAAGCAGAGGTCCTCACTGTGAAAGAAGTTAAGGGCCACCATGTTCGGATCCAGGAGCGGCTCAAGCACCGGCACATTGGTAAGGTTTGCTTTGCTGGTTAAGGGAGGTGAACGAGCTGGGAAGAACGTGCTCTGCCTGGGGCCTTGGATCCCATCACCATCCAGAGGAGAGGGACAGTGCTTTACTGCTGCCTAGACTCCTCCTAGAAGGCTTATCTCTATCCCTTCATTCATTTTATTGCAGAATTAAAAATACTTTGATGTGAGCGAATTTTTTAAACTTTTATTTATAATGACAAGTCTAGAAGCAAGCAGAAGGGTTACAGCTCTTGTTCAAGGTCACTGGACATTTTCATGTCTAGGCCAGAATAAATCTCATGGGAGCTGAGTTTCCAGTTCACTTCTTGGCACTCTGAATTACAGTTACTTAGAAGGTGGTAGTTATTGTAAACTAGAGGCCCGGTGCATGAAAATTCATGCACTGGAGAGGGGTCTCTCAGCCCGGCCTGCCCCCTCTCACAGTCCAGGAGCCCTCAGGGGCGGGAGGCGACCTGGTGATCAGGAGAAGGTGACACCCCCATCACACCTCTGCTGCTGCCACTTCCGGCAGCACAAGCCTCTGCCGACCCTGGTTACCTGAGCCTCAGGGGGCCCTGGGCAGCTGGGGGGCTGAGGGGACTGGGGGACTCTGGAGGCAGGCGTACGGCAGGGCTGAAGGGACTGGGCACTGCCATCTTGTGGGTGTGGGCGCCGCCATCTTTGAGGGCATGGCAGTCTATTAGCATATTCCCTCCTTATTGGCTGTGGGCACTGCCATCTTTGCAATGGCATGAGGGTCAATTAGCATATTCCCTCTTTATTAGATAGGATAATGACTTCTTTTTCATAATTAGGAATGTACCCCTCCTGACAAAAAGTTCATATTATGTGTTCACTACTACTGCTACCAAAAAATATTCAAATGCCTTTTCTCAAAAATATGCTGAATATTTTTATATACTATACACAGTTAAGTATATATTGCACATAAATAATAAATAACCATAACCATACATTTCCTGCTTCTGTGGAATAAACTAATCTAACACAGATGATACAGCAAATAAGTCATAAAACATGGAAATAGAGGGGTTAGAGCAGCCGTGGGCAAACTACGGCCTGTGGGCCGGATCCGGCCCATTTGAAATGAATAAAACTAAAAAAAAAAAAGACTGTACCCTTTTATGTAATGATGTTTACTTTGAATTTATATTAGTTCACACAAACACTCCATCCATGCTTTTGTTCCGGCCCTCCGGTCCAGTTTAAGAACCCATTATGGCCCTCGAGTCAAAAAGTTTGCCCACCCCTGGGTTAGAGAATATCTTTTTGTCTGTGATTTGTGAGAGGGAAATACATGTTTTCACCAGGATTATATATAAAGCTACATTTAAATCATAGTTCCAAGGATGATTTCTGTTTTTAAAAAGTGGCCAAAGAAGAAATCTTCAGCGATCCTGGTCAGTAAAGGGCTCCATGTGGAGGGCAGTGACGGAAACCAGCCCTTGGCTGTTCGGCTCCCACTGCTGAGGAGGCTCCTCAGGCAGCAGTGAGCTTGAGACCCACTGTGGGAGGACACTGCTGCCGCCCTTGGTCCCTTCACTCTCATACATCGCTGCTTTAGTTCTGTCACTGCCTCAGTTGCTCTGGGATTCCTCACTCTCATGAAAAACGTCCACAGACAATGTCCAACCAAACGCTGCATCTCACACATGCAATTAAGGAAGAAGGATGGGGACCCCACTAATTGGACAGGTCTGCCCTGCTGTCCCTGCACAGTAACCTGTCCTAGTAGCCACAGTTATGGAGGAGAAATGAATTCTTGCTCAACCACTTTCACTCTAATCCCAGAGAGACACAAGTAACTGGGCTTTTCATTTCTCAGCTGACATTTGTGGAGATGCCCGAGGAAAAGCGGGCCTGGATGCTAGTAGGACTTCCGAGGGGAAAAGGAGAGTTTTCATTTGGTGGATTCCCTGGGTCTCAGACTGGTGATTCCTAAAGTTGCTTTTTAAAGGTGTTTCTTCTCCAACTCCTTTTGCCCCAGGAAGCGTACACGTCCTGGAGGATGGCCCATCCATTCGTTTGGCTGCTGCGGTTGGACTTTTGACCCGAAATATACAAATCCAGTCTGATACTTTGTGTAGGGGGAGACTGCTTGTGGGGTCCTTCAGGAAGTCCAGCAGAGAAGAATTTTCAGGTAAACGGAATTTTAAGTGGCATTGCCAATTGGAGCCTATTCTTCTGGGACGTACAGGGAATTGTCCTTTATATAACAAAATGTACAAATTAAATGGCTCCTCTGTGCTCTGAGTAGCTATGCATTTTCAGTTCTAATCTGTGCTTAATTATCAGTGTGATGTTAAAATAATATACTAGCGATCAGCACATATGCACATTTTTACCTCAAAGAAAACATCTTCAGCAGATGTGAAATTTCCTCTGCTTTGAAATTATGGATGATTTAATGACCATTTGAGTTTTATCTCTTTCCTGAATTTCTATAATTCTTTCCCAGTAGCATGCAATATCTGATGGCAGGCCTCAGCTCATGCTATAAAGCAATAACGTAAATTTAAATAAAAGTGATTTCCATATTCCAGACTGCTTTAAGGATCAGTTCATTCTCTCTCATTTCTTTTAAGTTTTAGCTCTTGGAATGCTGCAAAATTATTCGATTAGCACTTTATTTCTTCAACTTGTATTCCTTAAATATTATTCCAACATTGTTCCATAGTCAAATAAATTTGGGAGAGGCTATCACTGTAGCTCCATCATAGAAAGTCACTGTGTACACGAATATAATACAGGCTCTGAGAAAGGCTGGAATAGAGGTTCCAGCCACTTCCCAAAGATCCTGAGCATGGAACACTTTTCGCTGGCACATCTGTTTCACCAGTATGATAAAGAGCAGTGTTTACACCTTACATCACAGTTCGGGATTTCTGGTCCATAGAACAAGCTTTCTCTCCATAAGCTCTCACTCCATTAGTTGTCAACACAAGTGAGTTTGCTTCTCCCCACACCCAAGGACATTTGTCCATATCTGGAGACATTTTTGCTTGTCACAGCTTTGGTGGGTGGGTCTGTTTGTAAACTATCAATTGCTTCCCTTTTGTCCTTGGCTCTGAGTGAGGGGGAGCTGTCTAAAGTCTGTTTGGCCTCTTCAGGATTGAACTCACAGCTGGACTGATGGTAACGTGGCTGGAAAATCCAGGTGGTTGGGATCAAAATCTGGCTCCACCATTTGCTAGCTATGTAATTGTAAACACATTTCTTAGTCCCCGTGAGCCTCAGTCTCATCATCAGTAAAACAAGGGTATTCACAGGGGTGGCTAAATGCATAGATTATGGAGCCAAACTTTTCAGGTTTGAATCCTGACTTGTGATTAACTATGTAAATTAAGATAAATTGCTAAATCCTTCTGGGTCTCACTCTCTAACTGTAAAACAAGAATAATGATGGAAACTTCACAGGGTTGTTATAAGGATTAACTGTGTTAAATACATGTTAAAAAAAAAAACACAAAAACCCTTAACATTTTTCTGTAACAAACTCCAGCATCTGGATTGGGTGGGATCTGCAGGTGTTGGTCAAGGGTGCCATCCATGGGTATTCAATGGTTATAGGGCAGAAAAGCAGACCAGAACTTATAACTCCTTCTTTTAAACTGGAGACCTCTGTCAGTCTCCTGCTTCTGATGAGACATATCCAGCAATTTGCACTCAGAATTGTGACTTTTCTTTTTTTTTTTTAATATATTTTATTGATTTTTTACAGAGAGAAAGGGAAAGAGATAGAGAGTTAGAAACATCAATGAGAGAAACATCGATCAGCTGACTCCTGCACACCCCCCAGTGGGGATGTGCCCGCAACCCAGGTACATGCCCTTGACCGGAATCGAACCTGGGACCTTTCAGTCCGCAGGCCGACGCTCTATCCACTGAGCCAAACCGGTTTCGGCCAGAATTGTGACTTTTCAATGGGAAAATAGTTGTGAACAAAATCACTGCTAAATTCTCTGTTGAAATGAGTAAGACATTTTAAATGTGTACTATGAATTAATTTTCAGACTTGTGGAATTTAAAACTATGAATTATAATTATGCACGTATGACATTAAAAACACTAATTATTATGAAAATTAAAAATAATATAGTGTGACTAAAATAAACATACAGAAATTTACTAGTAAAGAATTTGAAAATGATTTTAAAAATATGTTATTTCCTTCATGTCTTAATCAAGAGACATTATTGAATATCATGTTTTGGGCATATATTGAACAGAAATATATGTTCAAAAATTTTCACTTATCCCTTACTCTTAAGAAATGTTTAAAATATTGATAGAGTTAGCCATTATTTTTTTTTTCATACAATATCTTTGTGGGGATGGCTATGACCTTTTCACATGGGGGTCACTGAGACACAGAGAGGAAGACAGGATTCTGAGGTGAGTCCTAGGAATCCATATTCCCCTTGTTCTTACCCAGTTCCTGACCCAGCCCTGCAGGCAGATGCCTGGAGTCTTTAAGCTACGTGTGCCCATCTCCTTTCTCTATCTTTCCTTTCCTTGTTCTCTATCCTATCACCAGACTCTCCAGTCTGCACACAAAACCTTTTTAGGCATTAACTTCACCTTCTAAAGATTCATATTTTGTTAGTGAAACTCACTGGCATAAAATACTGTGCTGGTGCTGAGAAGAAATGATTATATTTCAATGAAAAATCTGCATATTCTGGTGTCCATACATGGACCATCCTTCTGCTTTTCATGGGGAAGAAAAAGTACCTGATGATATGCATTTTGTTTACAGGTGTCCTTCAACTTTTAAATGTAGAAATTCAGAACTTTGGCTCACCATTGTTTTCATCCATTGAATTCACGCATGTGTCGGCAGGATCCTGGATAATATCTTCTGCTCTGCACCACAGCTGCGGTGGGGGCATTCGTGCAGTTGCCAGTCATGGGATCATTTTAAATGACAACATAGTGTTTAGCACCGTTGGTCATGGCATTGATTTGGAGGGTCAGGCCTATTCTCTCTCTAATAACCTTGTGGTTCTGATGACACAGTCAGCGTGGTCCACTGTTTGGGTGGCAGGCATCAAAGTGAACCAGGCAAAGGACATCACCCTCCGTGGTAATGTCGTGGCAGGATCGGAGAGACTTGGCTTTCACATCCGAGGCCAGAGGTGTTCCCCTCTTGAAGCTCTCTGGTCTGACAATGTGGCCCACTCAAGCCTTCACGGTCTTCATCTCTATAAGGAAAGTGGACTTGGCAACTGTACTAGAATCTCTGGCTTTTTGGCTTTCAAGAACTTTGACTACGGTGCCATGCTACATGTGAAGAACAGCGTGGAGATAGAGAATGTCACTCTGGTGGACAACGCTATCGGTCTTCTGGCGATAGTATATGTGTCTTCTGCTTCACAGCCTTCAATCGAAAATGTGCAGATTGTGCTTAGGAATTCAGTCATTGTGGCCACTAGCTCCTCTTTTGACTGCATTCAGGACAGGGTTAAGCCTGGCTCTGCCAACTGGACATTAATGGACCGAGCTCCGTCCAACCCCAGAGGGGGTCGAGTTGGTATTCTGTGGCCAGTGTTCACCTCAGAACCAAATCGGTGGCCTCAGGAACCATGGCACAAAGTGAGAAATGGCCGTTCAGTTTCAGGAATCATGAAGCTTCAAGGTAGGATGTTTGGGCTTATCCAAATAATGTAGTTTCATATCTCTGTGCACAGAATTTTTAAGAGCATTCTGAAATTATATCAACAAAAGAGTACAGTGTAGTCTAGTGCTTGTTGCACAATTGACCACCTGCTGCGTATTGATAACCACACTGATGGTTGATAACAGCAGTGAGTGATTCCTTTAAAAAGTTACTGCTTTAAACATGTTGAAGAACTTTCACAGCAATTATTGAATTTGATTATATGAAAATTCTCTTAGGTAGGTGTTATTTTCCCTATTATAGAAAGGAAGAAATATAGATGCAGAAATTGTGTCTTACTGAAATTGTTTACTAGTTGGTGGGGTAGCCAGGAATAAAATCAAATTATATCACTACCTATGCAGTTAATATTCTATTAGATCTCTTTTGTAATATTGTACTCATTCCCCATTGGATTTTATCAAACCTATGATAAAACATATCATTCTGAAGACATTGATGTGTTGAACTACTTCTGTTTTGCAAAGAATACTCATGTCTTGAAGAATTACAGATATTTAAGTCAAGCTTTATGTAAACTGGAACTAGCCTGGACAGCTTAAATTAACTTCTGGCCAAACAGTAGCAAAGATTGTTTAGTTGCATAGTCTATATTTGCAGTTGGTAGTTTACGTGATCTAATGCCATGCTATGCTTAAATTTTTTTTTCAGATGTTACCTTTTCTAGTTTTGTGAAGAGTTGCTATAGCAATGACCTAGATGTATGCATTCTGCCCAATGCAGAGAACACTGGAATCATTCATCCCATAACAGCAGAGAGGACCAAAATGCTAAAGATCAAAGATAAAAACAAGTTCTACTTTCCTCCTTTACAAACCAGGTACCAGTTTTAGTATTTATAACCCCTATCCATGAAGTATAAAATCATTAATGGAAATAAAAAGAAACCCTTCTGAAAAGTATGCTAGATGAATTGCATGCCCCCCATTCTTTATGCCTCCCATGTCCAAGGGCTTTGCTACATGGTTTTTGCAGTGTCTCTCACCAAAGAGCAGAGGCTGTTTCTCTCTCTTGAATCTGGGTTCAGCCATGTGACTTTCTCTGGCTAATAAAAGTGTAGACGTGATGCAGGGCAATTGATATTGTTTTGTCTTTATTAGAGATATTTCTTTGGGATAGTTTCAATCACTGGAAAAAAATTTCCCTAATTCTTGTATATTCTATAGAGTATGGTGTCACTAGTCTTCAGAAGGAACCTTAGGAGCCCTTGTGCAGGGACTGGTGGGGAGAAGGAAATCATGTCTGATGACAAGAACCCATGAGTTGAATAATGTGGCTTAGATAGATACTGGTGCTCAGACCAGGTGTAACCACTATTCTGGACCATAGGATCTGAGAGTTTCATTCAGGAATCTGAAAACTTGATAAGGCACTATTTTTGCCATAAAAGGGAGCAGGAAAATTGGGACCAGGGAAAATGGGCTACTTTTCTTCCCCGTAACATTGGGATAAACTCCTATAGTTGGAAGACAAGAATCAAGAAAAATTACCCTAATTGGAAAGTTTATGTTTTTGGCCCAATATCTGTCTCTTTAAGATGCCCATTCCTGAGCTACTTTTGGTACCTAAACATTAGGTATGTAATTTGGGTTGTCTTGTCATTTCTCTTCTATTGTACAATTTTCCTTATGTTCATGTAAACCTATGGGATGAAAGAATTATAAAGCTTAATAATACTAGCATCTGATTCTTTGTACTATTAGTACTTAACACATGGTTAGCAGGCAAATATTTGACACTAGTACTGATGGTACTGAAAAGTATTAGACCAGGAGAAATAAAATAAGTTTTCTAAATTTCAGTGTTATAATGGTCTACTATTTGTTTATATAACCTCCTAAGGTTATATGACTCTAAATTCTGAAAGTATAGGAACCATGCCTGTATTTATCACCATTATACCCCCCAACCTGTAAAATTGGTAGGTTTTCAATAGATATTTGTTAAGTGACAATATCTATTTTTACCTTGTTTGCATACGGCATAAATATAATTGAAATTTATAATGATAATCTTATAATATTGCAAGGTACCAAAGTTCCATAAAAAATGCTTACATTATTTTCAGTAGGTATTAAAATTAGGAGTATTTTATTGTATCTTACTGCTTAGAAAAATTACAATCTATTTAAAGATGATATATCCAGAGTATTTGGATAATAATAATGCCTTTCTTCTTGACCATATAACTGAGAAGTAATATTTTCTATAGAGTTTTATTTAATATCTATGTACCACATTACTACTAATAAATTCCTTTTTCATCAGATCAGTAATTTCAATATATTTTCGTTTTTGTTGCTCATGAAATGAGAGTTGCTTTCTGTCTGTCTTTACAGGGAAGATTTAGGAACACTGGTCTGCCCTGAATCCGTTTGTGAAAGTCCAAAAAAATATCTCTTTAAGGATCTCGATGGGAGAGCCCTGGGTCTACCTCCACCGGTTTCTGTGTTTCCTAAAACTGAGGCAGAATGGACTGGATCCTTCTTCAACACAGGTTGGTTATAAAGGAGCTCGATGCCTCCAGTAGGGGGCGCATGCATGAAGGAGCTGGTTTGGCTGTGTTGTCTACTGACAGTGGTCTGCAAACTCATTAGTCAACAGAGCCAAAAATCAACAGTACAACGATTGAAATTTCTTTTGAGAGCCAAATTTTTTAAACTTAAACTATATAGGTAGGTACATTGTTATGAACTTAATTAGGGTACTCCTAAGGCTTAGGAAGAGCCACACTCAAGGGGCCAAAAAGCTGCATGTAGCTCGCGAGCTGCAGTTTGCCGACTCTAGTCAGGAAACCAAATCTCCTGCAGAGGAAATGAATTCTGGAGTTGGAGCCTGTGCTAATCTGCTGCTCAACTCACCTGTAGCAAAGGAATGTTGAGTGACTAAGAGATGTGATCACTGTGTGGCCTCCATGACGTTGCCAAAGGTGTACCTATGTCAAAGGTACAGATTCCCAACACCAACTCTGTGCACAGGTGAGAACAATACTCTCACTAGCTTGGTCACCCGGGCCTGAAGCATCGTCCTCAGTGCTCAGAGCTTTGCAGTGTCAGCCACAGAACCAGCAACTCTGGCTTCTGATTGTATCTTTCTCTATCACCAGAACTTAAGGGCTCTCAATCTGGAGAGGGTGGTGGAGTAGATGGCATGCAGTTTGCCTTCTTTTTCCCCATTTTTGTAATTGTCCCTGGGAGGTGTGTGTGTGTGTGTGTGTGTGTGTGTGTGTGTGTTGGGGGGGGGGGGGCGGTGTTGGGGGAGGGAGGCCAAGCTGTGATCAAAATTCCTTCTTCTTGCTTATACAAGCAAAACCCACTTACCTATCAGTTTTATAGCTGGACCCCTAGAGAGATCATTGCCCTCCTTACTTCCACAAACAATGAGACTGGGTTTTCTTTTCAGTTCAGGTGGAACCTGCTGCAGGTAAATCTAAAAAATTTTCCCTGTGTTTTTTCCCCCCCTGCTTCAGTGGTTGATGCTTCAGACTTCTAGTCTTTCTTCCCTTTTTAAATTTCTGAATGTGTGAATGTTCCAGAACTACATCCTCAGATCCGTTTTATTTTCTCTTCCTAATCATTAAGCCCAAGGTTGAAATACCACTTAGTGCTGAAGACTTCCAATTTACATCTCCAGCCAGACTCAATCCTGGACTTTAGTCTGGTATATCCAACTCCATTGGAAAGTATAACTGACATCTCAGACTTAACATGCCCTAAATGGAACTCTTCATCTCTGCCCCATCCATGTCCTGCTTCTTGCCTAGCTAACTCTACTTCAGTAATTGGTACTATCCAGAAACAATCATTTATTCTTTTTTTTTTTTTCAGAACCCAAATTCTCCTACTTCTAACCATCATCATCTCCCACCTGACAAGGGGAATAACCTTCTAACTAGTCTTCTTTCTTATGCTCCTGTACCCTATACAGGTCTTTTTGTCAATGATAGCCAGAGTGATCTTTCAACTTTCCAATGTTTTTTCTATCCCCCTCAGAATGAAATCCACACTACAAGCTGTGTAGTATCTGGCTCCTGCCCATCCCTCTCACTTCACTTTCTGTGACATCCTTTTTACTTATCATTGTCTTGTTTTTTCTTTCACATGGTAAACTTATACCTACCTCAAGGCCTTTGCATTGGCTATTGTGCCAGAAAAATCCTGTTCTCACTTTGCAGAGCTGGCTCCTTCCTTTCAAATGATAACCCCACAGAGAAGCCATCTCTGACCACCCTATCGAAAACAAATGTTCCTCCATTATTCTCTAGCCCTACTTGTTTTTGTCAGAGTCCCATTACTTGAAATTATATTATACATATACCTGCCTACTTGTGGATTTACTGTTTGCCATTTTAGAGTACAAACTTCATGAGGGCAAGAATTTTGTTCTGTTTACTATTACATATTGGGGGAGATGCTCAACAAATGTCAGTTGATGAACTGATCAAGTGAATGAATTATTGATAACCAAGGAAACTATTAATGCCGTTTTCCCCATATCATTTAAGAACATACAGAAGAAACTGAGGCCTCCAGGTCATTGGTTTAAGGATTTATGTATAATATAGAATCCTGGAACCAAGAAGTGTCCAGGTATCTCTTTACTTGTTTTCACTTTTCTTCTATTTGAACTACTACCACTTTATAGCACTTGCCTTTTAGAAAAGTTTTACATAAGTCATTAATTACCATGCAGTTTCATGCCTCAACACTGTTTAATAGTTTTCTCAAAAATTTTCATAGGTTGAAGGCTTATCTTTGCAACAGAGTGAAAAGCTGTGAGGATTATAGTGTAGGATTTAGAAAGTCATTACTGAGTGCATGAAGCATGCTGGGTAAATATTCATTTTGATATGTTGGTTATGTCTGTTGAATATAACCAGCAAATACATATTGCACAGAAGAATGAAATTCAGGGAAACCATCCATATTGAGAAAGTATGTGTAGAATAGTAAATGGGAAAAAAGATAGGAAGCTAGTTTCCCATTTACCACTAGTCCTATTCAAATAGCTTTCTTAACAAAATAATTTATTGATTTGAGAGAGAGAGAGAGAGAGAGAGAGAGAGAGAGAGAGAGAGAGAGAGATAGGTTTGCTGTTCCATTTACTTAGGTATTCATTGGTTGCTTCTTGTATGTGTCCTGACCAGGGATCGAACCCAAACTTTGGCATTTGGGATGATGCTCCAGACAACTGAGCTAACTGGCCAGAGCTTCAAATAGCTTCTGTAGTAAGTTGTCTTATTAGTTTTAAAAATCATCCCCCTGTTACAGGTGTTATGCAATCGAGAAAACATTCTTTTATACTTTAAAATAAGTACATGAATAACTGTGAGTTTTTCCTAAACTTGGAGGTTTTGGTGAGGAGCCCCTTTCTGTGAAATCAGTATCAAGGGATACATGCTCCAGAGTATTTAGTGAAAATTAAATTTCACAGAAGAATGAGGACTGAAGAGAGTGTCTTCAGTTGCCTCCGAAGCAGACCCTGATACAAGGCTTAGATTCCAAGTGGTTTACATGGGGGTGAACTCAGGAAAGCAGGGAAGGGGGAAATGAGCCAGGGAAAGGACTGAGGTCATTCAGGGATGTGTTGTCAAACTGGTTACCACTCTGGACAGCTGGAGCTCAAGTTTGGCGGGGAACTTCAGGAGACCAAGGGAACATGACCCAAAGTATCCCAGCTAAGTCCTGATGAAGCTAAGGTAGTTATACCTCAAATCTCTATTTATTTCTGGCTGAGGGGTGCTATTGGGGTCATTAACTCCCTAGTCCTCTGGCTTTTGCTGAACACAGGCCAATTGTGCTCTTTCCCATGGCCAGAAAAGTCCCTTCTCAAAAGGGAGCCATCGTTTTGTAGCAGCGGTCTTTTATCTGTGAAGGTGAGTGCCAAAGCCTTTTGGGTGGAGCTCTTAAATATCTGTCCAATCCTCCATGTGTGAATAATAATGTTCTTGATGAAATCTTAGGTAGTTGCTAATGATGTAATTGTGTAGTTGCGATGTAACTACACTATTTAGGCACCAACATGCTCTTGCTCCTGGTTACAATGCTGTGTGTTTTATTTCCATTAGTCTCTGTGTTGGATGTGAAACACGATTCAATGATGGTAAAACCCCAGCATGCATTGTACTATTGCATACCATTTACTATCAATGTGTGGACAAGCATGAGCATGTGTGTGGGTGGCTGAATGTATAGAGGGAGGTATATATGACTGACTACCCTAAACTCCTGATGTTTAAAGCTTTATAACATTTTAAATGAGGTTGCTATAGGTTCCAACTGCGTGGATTCCCACAGTAGAATCTGCTGTTCACTAAAAATAAAATCTGTGTCCTCTTGCAAGGAAGGAGACAGCCCATAGTAAGTGGTGCCTTCCGCGAGCGAACAGAATGTAATGTTTTCCTTCAACTCCCAAATAGGAAGAAACCCCTCCTTCCCTAATTAAAGTCCATTTTTATTTTTTAAACCATTCTCTACTATACTGCTTTCCTGTTCATAATCTGATGGATGAGAAAAGTACAAAGTTAATCTCAAGAGCATGAATATCTATTTTGTATTTTCCTCTTTCAAGACAAGCATCTATGATCTTCTATAAAACAGCAAGAGCAGTGCAGCAAAGATGAAAATGAGGGCCACGGGAACCAGCGCTCACTTTTATTCCACATGGCACTGCCTTTCTCAGTTTTATTGGCAGCTTGAAATCTATTGCCTTTGAGGTTTAGTTTTAACTTTAAAAAAACACACACAGATTTTATTTGCACATATAAGTTCACATTGCAAAACTACCCACTCAGACAGATAGCCACAGGTCCCTCATATTGTCATATTCTCCAGCATCAGGAGCAAAAATTACCCATGTGGGTCAGCTCTGAGGAATGCTGTGCCAGTGGGCTTTTTATCTGTGCAATGCAGGGTGTGTAGCCAGGGGAAAGTGAGCTGCTAATTTTGGTTTGTACTTATCTGTAAGTTAGCATTTGCAGCCAACTTTGAAACATGCGTGACAAAGAGTGCAAGGCAGCTAATCCCAAGCAGATCCTCTGAGAACCATTTGCATTTTATTCCAGAAAGGATTTAGTTTTATTATGGAGGCATCTGATCATCTGAAAATCCAAAATCATTTCGAAAAACAAAGTCTTGAAATTCATATCCCATTTATGTAAGACGAGATAGATATCAAAGCTTTCCACTTTGCTTCTCACTCATTTCCTGTCAGTCTCAGACAACAAATAGGTAGCATCACCTCTCAGACCAGTTCATACATGTGGCACACTGAACTGGAAAAAAAATCAGGGCTTTAGTTTCTATGGCATTTGACAATTTCTCAGACGTGATGAGGATGGTAGAGGGAGATGAACTGAGCGTGTTTAGTGTGCTAAGCACTGAAGCCGGCATTTTCACTTATTCAGCGAATGCATGTTGACCACTCTACCTGCACCTTTGTAAGGATGGAGCTGTCGTTGTGAACAAGGCAACGTTCCTGCTTTCATCAAACTTAGGT